ATATTGGATATGAGTCCTCTGTCAGATAAAGGGTTGGTGATGATTCTTTCCCAATCTGTAGGCAGTCGCTTTGTTTTGATGACGGTGTCCTTTGCTTTACAGAAGCTTTTCAATTTCATGAGGTCCCATTTATTGATTGTTGCTCTTAGAGCCTAGGCTGTTGGTGTTCTGTTCAGGAAGTTTTCTCCTGTACCAATGAGTTCTAGGGTATTCCCCACTTTTTTTTCTAGACGATTTAATGTGTCTGGTTTTATGTTGAGGTCTTTGATCTACTTGGACTTTAGTTTTGTGCAGGGTGATAAGTATGGATCTATTTTCATTTTTCTACATGTAGACATCCAGTTGGACCAGCACCATTTGTTGAAGATGCTATCTTTTTTCCATTGTATGGTTTTGGCATCTTTGTCAAAAATCAGGTGTCCGTAAGTGTGTGGGTTTATTTCTGGGTCTTCTGTTCGATTCCATTGATCCACCATTCTGTTTCTATGCCAGTACCATGCAGTTTTTATAACTGTTGCTCTATAGTACAGCTTGAGATCAGGGATGGAGATACCTCCAGAAGATCTTTTATTGTAGAGGATTGTTTTAGCAATTCTGGGTTTCTTGTTATTCCATACGAAGTTGAGAATTTTTCTTTCCAGGTCTGTAAAGAATTGTGTTGGCAATTTGATGGGAATTGCATTAAATCTGTAGATTGCTTTTGGTAAGATAGCCATTTTTACTATGTTAATCCTGCCAAGCCATGAGCATGGGAGATCTTTCCATCTTCTCATATCTTCCTCTAATTCTTTCTTCAGAGACTGGAAATTTTTTTCATACAAGTCTTTGACTTGCTTGGTTAGGGTTACACCAAGGTACTTTATGTCATTTGTGGCTATTGTGAATGGTGTTGTTTCTCTAATTTCTTTCTCAGCCCTTTTGTCTTTTGTATACAGGAGTGCTACTGATTTTTTTTTTTGTGTTAATTTTGTATCCGGCCACTTTGCTGAAGGTGTTTATCAGCTGTAGGAGTTCCCTGGTAGAGTTTTTGGGGTCACTCATGTATACTATCATATCATCTGCAAATAGTGATAATTTGACTTCTTCCTTTCCCATCTGTATCCCCTTGATCTCCTTCAACTGTCTTATTGCTCTAGCAAGGACTTCCAGCACTATGTAGAAGAGATATGGAGAGAGTGGGCAGCCTTGTCTTGTCCCTGATTTCAGTGGGATTGCTTTAAGTTTCTCTCCGTTCAGTTTGATGTTGGCTATAGGCTTGCTGTATATCGCCTTTACTATGTTTAGATATGTGCCTTGTATCCCTGATCTCTCCAAGACTTTAAACATGAATGGATGTTGGATTTTGTCAAATGCTTTTTCAGTATCTAGGGAGATTATCATGTGGTTTTTTTCTTTCAGTTTGTCAATATGGTGGATCACATTGATGGATTTCCGTATATTGAACCACCCTGCATACCTGGGATGAAGCCTACTTGGTCATAGTGGATAATATCTTTCATGTGTTCTTGGATTCAGTTTGCAAGTATTTTGTTGAGTATTTTTGCATCAATGTTCATAAGGGAGATTGGCCTGAAATTCTCTTTCTTTGTTGAGTCTTTGTGAGGTTTAGGTACCAAGGTGATTGTGGCTTCATAGAATGAGTTTGGTAATGTTCCTTCTGTTTCTGTTTTGTGGAATAGTTTGAAGAGAATTGGAGTTAGCTCTTCTTTGAAGGGCTGGTAGAATTCTGCGCTGAAGCCATCTGGTCCTGGGCTTTTTTTGGATGGGAGACTTTTGATGACTGCTTCTATTTCTTTGGGGGATATAGGACTATTTAATTTATTTACCTGGTCCTGATTCAGCTTTGGTAAGTCAAATCGATCAAGAAAATTGTCCATTTCATTTAGATTTTCAAATTTTTTTGAGTATAGACTTTTGAAGTAAGTCCTAATGATTGTTTGGATTTCCTCAGTGTCTGTAGTTATGTCCCCCTTTTCATTTCTGATTTTGTTGATTTGGGTGGTGTCTCTCTGCCTTTTAGTTAGCTTGGGTAAGGGTTTGTGGATCTTGTTGATTTTCTCAAAGAACCAGCTCTTGGTTTCATTGATTCTTTGAATTGTTTTATTTGTTTCTAATTGATTGATTTCAGCCCTGAGTTTGATTATTTCCAGCTGTCTACTCCTTTTTGGTGTGTCTGCTTCTTCTTTTTCTAGGGTTTTTAAGTGGGCCATTAAGTTGCTTGAATGAGCTGTCTCGAATTTCTTCTTGAAGGCACTTAGTGCTATGAACTTTCCTCTTAGCACTGCTTTCATTGTGTCCCACAAGTTTGGGTATGTTGTGTCTTCATTTTCATTGAGTTCTAGAAAGGCTTTAATTTCTTTCTTTATTTCTTCCCTGACCCAGCTGTCATTTAGTAACAAGTTGTTCAGTTTCCATGTGTGTGTAGGCTTTTTGCTATTTCTGTTTTTGTTGAAGTCCAGCTTTAGTCCATGGTGATCAGACAGGATACAAGGGATTATTTCAGGCAGACAAACATTTGTACACATAAAATAGTAAAATTTTCTAAAAATACCTTTTATTCATTACATTTAAAGATACCTAAATTATCTAAATTCTGTTTTTACAAACATTGTTTAGTACAATTTTGTAGATTTGTTTTGCTTTTTTTTGTTTTTAGCTTAGAATCTGAAAATGAACAAGTTGAAATTCATTTGAGATCAATTATGTATTTAATTTTAGTTGTCTTTTTTGATGTTTTGTTCTTGTTTTCCCTTTTAATTTTTAAACCAGAACCCCAGGAAAAAACAAATGGATTGCAGCAAACCTGTCTACTTCATCAAAGTACTTGGGGCATAGTTAATGTGTGCTTGCATCATTCCAACATAGGGATTTTCTTGGTGTGTTTGAGGCCTCCGATGCAGCTGGAGTAACTGCTGATGTGACTGCTGTTACACAAGCTGCCACTGGATGAATATGGAAAATGAGCTGGAAAAGGGTCCTCACAAATAAGGAAGGGTATACTCTCTGCTCTTGTTTTGTTGTTTGTTTCAGTGAGTTACCGCAATCACCTTTGGAAAGAGAATTATAAATGAAAGACACTTGACTACATTTATATGTTTTTAATTCAACTGAGCAGTTAGAAAAGATACTCTAGATAATCTAATCACAGCAGTGACTGAACATCTGTACAAACACAACATTCCAAACTCCAAAACTCAAACACACATTAGTTTAATAATAGCCAAGTCTTTTTGTCACAAATGTAATACTGGCTGTCTTGTATTTTGAAACAACCAACCTTATATCTTTTTTTGTTTTTTAAGCTAAGTACCAAAGTACTATTACTCAAAAGTGTTGTAAGCATTTAGGCTTAATTAATATATTTATAAATTTAATGATAGTCTTTGAATAAGGCATGCTATATTTTGTGCTCAATATTGGAGATCTTTGGATTTTGACATCAAAGTAGAAAGTTTCTGTGGCCCCTGGATAGAGCTTAACTGCTGTTTTTATTTATTTATCTATTTATTTATTTGGGGTTTTTGTTGTTTTGTTTTTATGAGACAGGATTTCTCTGTGTAGCCTTGCTGTCCTGGACTCAACTTTGTAGACCAGGCTGGCCTCCAACTCACTGAGATCCACCTGCCTCTGCCTCCCAAGTACTGGGATTACAGGCGTGCACCACTGCACCGGGCAGGAGTTTAACTGCTTAATTTCAGCACTTAACTGCTCATCCCAGCACTTGGAAAGCTGACAGGTTAGAGGCCAGAGCTTTGTTGAAACTTAACGAGACTTCTAAAAAGTTACTTTCATAATTTTTAAATTTAAATTTGACACTTTAAAAACTCCAGATTTGATTATATTATACTATCATTCATACACACAAGCAATATAATTACCCTTCTCGGGAGTATACAATAGGTACGTAATAAATGCATTACACATATAAAAAGCATCCTAACATTATCCTAGTGCATAGAAAGGTTCAAAATTAGTTTAGAACATCCCACCCCTCAAGAACCTCTCAGTTTGAGTCTGAAACAGTAGCAAAATGAACTGTTAGTTAACATCATGTTCATTGTTCAAGTAGGTAAAAAAGTTACAAGATAGGGAGATGTCTGAATTACGCCAGTTACTGGTGTGGCAGAATTCCTTTCCTGTAGAAATTTAAACCTCTTCTACTCCCTCATTGTAAGATCTCAGTAACAAACCAAGCATCCTACTAAAGGTCAGCCTGATGATTTCATTAGGCTTACTTAACAGGATGGTGTGGGGTTGCCTCCATGAGCATGGATGACCCCAAAACAACTGCACTGGGAAGTCTTGAGTATGATGGTGGCCCACAGCTGCATAGATGCACCCACCTATATTCTCTAGCATCTCTTTAAGGCTACTGTGAGCAGAACTGCATCCAGATTGCTGGACTCTCAGGCCCAGTGTCCCTCTATACCCACTCCTTGTCTGAAGAGATGTCAACAGCCAGCATGATTGCCATGGTCTTTTATAAGCATACACAGTTGCTCTAAGGGAGATGGCAGTTGTTTTGCCCCCCAGAGGACAGCATTCTACAACAATGATTGTAATTTAGAATGTAAATACAGTATCTGTAAATTTAGCAGTGCAAATAGATGCTTAGCCATATTCAGTCTCTTCAGATAACTTGGAATATTTGCCTCGAAAATCTCTGAAAGCCAAAGCTTACATTAAATAGGCACCTATACAAGAAAGTAAAATCCTACTTTGCATTGTGTGTTTGGGCCCATTGATTTCTAAAAGCAAAGAGGACTTGACTTAAGTTGACTCCAGCTACTTTTCTCTGCTTTTGTTGGATGCTCACCATGCCAAACGTACTGAGTTTGTACCATAGTCAGGGTTTTTTAAAAATAGCCGTGGTCAAATGAAGGTGTATTTCTGTAAGTGAAATGCCATTAATAGTATATATGCACCCAGTACCCCACCATGCATTTCTTAACTCAGTGAAAAAAAAAGTGATTATGCATCGAAAAGATTATTTTCTTTCGTATTTAATGCAGTGAATATGTAGTTAACATTACTACTGAACTAAACATCTGAAATCTTACACAATGAAATGAACAAAAATTAGTCATCTGTTAATGGTTACATCCACTAGGTCCATCTGAGGTTACAGAATGTCAGGCTTATAGACTTTTGAGTAGACACTGTCAGCACAGAACATAAATCTCACACAGGTATAATCAGAATTTATACCAAGCAAATGATCTCATTAATAAACTTTATGTATTAGGTTAGCTTCATAAAGTAGTATGGTTTTGCAACAAACAGTGATGGAATGCAGATGTAAATATGTTATTTTAAACATGATACACTAAATAGAGCATATTGAGGTCAAAGCCTTTCTGTAGAAAGAGAATTTAGTTGACATTCTTCCAAGCATAGTGTATAAACATCAAAATAGTTCTATTGTAAGAAATAGTATTTAACAACATATTTCTGAAATAAAAATACTTTAAAAATCAGCTTTGATGAGATTTAAAGAATCTTTAAAGTGCAATATATACTTATGCCTTTATGCATTTTCCAGCACAACCCCCACCTTCAACCCATCCCAGTTATTAATAGCAATTAGTAAGTAGTGCAAAACATTGCAGCAATTTCCATTGAGTCTGACTCTTCTAACAAGTCAGTGAAGACATTCTTACTGACCAAGTTATCTCAGCAGAGGTACGTTCCCTTGATAGACCCTGGAATTACTTTCAGGAATGCAATGTTGAAGTATCGGGTGTGGTTAGTGAAACATTTTTAATGCCTTACAAGCAGTTTATTTTACAAAACAGGTTTTCATGCATTATCAATGATCTTCATAAATGATGTAATGAAACAATGGACTTTAATTTAGTCCACAGCATTCTCTCCATTAAAACTCACTAATGACAAAATTCATATTATACATTAAAGTATGTCAGTAGAGGACACTTGAATATTATTTTAGATGCACAAGGGCATAATTGGACACCATGTGCAATATAGATTTAGTTTGCTATTATTTTTGACAATTAGCTTGCTAATTTGCTTACTCAGTATAAATTAAATTAGTGGTATATATAAAAATCCTGATAATCATATATAAACCTGGCAGTATTTATATAACATAGTTCTGGAGAGATTTTAAGGTTTTAGATGGAATGATAGAAGGTTTAAAAGTCTTATTCATAGACTCTCACATTCTCTTAAGGGATTGTGTGTGTGAAGTCAGGAAAAGATATGAATACCTGTAGCATAAAATCATCCATAGCCATACATTTATTTACACGAGTGAAAGTCGGGATGTATGTTAAATTGAAGTGCAACATTTCTATTATTCAGGCTTTGGGGTTTCTCCCTTTTGAAATGTATAAACAAAACAAAATTTAATGAATTACGTTTCAGATAAGAAATAGTTGCATTACAAAAAAACTTAAAGATCAGATTGGCATTATCATTTTATGTAGGGTTAAGCACAATTGAGCATTTAATCTGATACTCTGGCTCTTTCACTTTTAATTCTAGAACTGTATCTTCCAGTTTTATTATTATATTATCTGTAGCTAACAAAGCTTCCACACTCCACAAGCTAAAAGCTTTTATCAAGTTGAGTCTATACAGTGAAAGTATATTTTCAAAGACATACACCTTTTGTACACTATTTACAAATGTTCTTGATCATTATTTTAAAAATGGAAAATAAATAAAAAGCCAAAGAAAGGAAGTGCTGCGGAGGCTGAGGATTTTTTATCTTTCCAGACATGCTCGTCTCCTCAATGCTGGAGGCTGGCTAGCCAAGGTTGTTTTTCTTCCTTTTATATGGACTATGAGAATGGTCTGTTTTCAGTTCTTGGTATTGCACCTGTTTAAACAGTTCAGAAAAAGACCAGTCAGGTGACCACTTCCTGGCAAAAGAAGGAAAAGCTAAGGAATTCTTGGGGGAGTGGGGAAATGGAAAGCGGGCTGCTCTAAAAGCCAAGTGGGACCTCAAGCTGATGCAGAAAACAAAATGACTAGAGCTAGAGTCAGAAGAGAAATCCTGCCAGAAATTGCCTGAAGCTCTGTGTGAACTTTGCTAATGGATTATAAGTGTTACTGACCATAACACAATACAATGAAAGAAAATCTGTATTTTTGAAGAAATGGATAATGGTTCTTTGCAGGAGTTTTTCGTTTGTTTGTTTTTGTTTTCTTTGTTAAATTCAGCTTTAATCCTTACCTACCCCAGCGGTTTTCAGTCTGTGGGGATCTAAAGACTCTTTCACATACATATCAGATATTCTGTGTTTCAGATATTTACAGTACAATCCACAATAGTAACAAAAATCCCAGTTACAGAGTGGCAACAGAGTAACTTTTATGGTTGGGGCTCACCACAATGAGGAACTGTATTAAAGGTTCACAGCATTGGGAAGATTGAGAACTGGCCTAGCCCATTGTTGTAAATATGAAACATCTAAAATTCCTAGTTTCTCTGCTCACATCTTGATGGTGTCACTTCGCAAACTCAGCAGGGTTTTTTCCCTGAAAGCCATGGTGGTTCTTTATGCTATGACTTTCAGTCTCTTCTTTTCTATTCTTTATAGGTTTTTCTAGATTAATGCCAAGTTAGCTAAAGTCTTGCTAAAATCTGCAGTAGGCTTTGTTAACTTTTCCTGACTCTTCTATAACCTTTGACATTAAAAGAATCTAAAAATTAAAACAGTACCATACTACACCCAAGTAAGAACAATGATAATGAACATACATACCACTTGCACATCTGAGGGAACTCTAGAGAGGAAGTCAAGTAGTTCATTGTTATCAATAGCATATGGACTCCGAAGCTTTTTTGTAAATTTATTAATTCCTAAAAAAGTGAGATTTCAAATATTATTGAGTGTGGAGTTAGGCAAAGCACATTTCTGAAGAAAGTATTGCCATGGTTTGAGCATCAGCTGTGCTAATCATTGACCTTGACTGAATGCCTAGCACACCACCTCCCTTCAATGTTCAACTTTCCCAACTGAATTGCTTCTTACTTCTTCTCTTTCCACTTCATTAGCTTCTACCCAGTAGGTGAGGCTTTTGGGAAAACAAATGGGTACCTAGAAGGAATGCAGTGTCTTGCCTCACCAGATTCTCTGTTACATTCACTAGATGTTTTGCTTTTTTGTTTTAGCCATGATGAAACTGTCTGCCTACATTTCTGGATTGAGAGTGTTAGGTGATTTGTTCTTTTCTTATTTTCCAATGATAAGTTTTTTTAAGGGGTGGGGGTGCTGCCGTTATACAGCAAGCTAAATGTTTACAAATCACATAACTATGATGCTTAGTTATTATTTAAGTGGAAATGAAAAGTATTGCCATAAATTTTTGGGAAACAAGTATTCAGATTTACGTTAACACATGGTGAAAACTGAGGAACAAACTGGGGGATATTAGCTCTCAATGGTTTTCCTACAGAACACCTTCTGTCATCGTGGCCCTTGTCTCTTTCCAGCCATTTGAGCGGTCACCTCACTCTAAAGAAATAGATTTTGTATTTTTTCATTTGATGAAACAAGGCTGAAACACATTTTATAAAATTATTTTTAAGACAGCCAGCCATTGAGGCCATACAGGTTCCATAGCCAGAGGTTTGCCTTAGGCCCCAGTTTCAGAGAAGCTGGGGAAAGCCTGTCAGGGGAAAGGTTATCTACCATGTGGCAATAGAGATAGCTCTGCAAGTCTGACCCTAGATAGGTATAGTTATTCTCTGCCATAAATCCTCCAATCAAACAGTATCTTGCAGAGAAATGAATGAAATATTAGGGTTTAATAGACTAGAAAACAATAATATGGTTTAGGGAAAAAAGTCCTTTGAATAGGAAAAGTGATGATTTAATTAAATTTCTGCGCATGGTAGAAATTGGAAAAGACAAATGTAGAAACTTTCTCTGCCCTCCATCTGGGGCATAGAGTTAATATTGGTGACTTTAAAGACAAACAAGGTCTACCCAAGAGAAAAACATGAATGTGGACCAAGAGGAGAAAGAAAGAATATTTTGTCATTATTACTAATCATCATCATCACTATTAAAAAGTGTATATGTGTGTGCAACATGGGCCTCTAGAGGTCAGAACCGAGTAGTGGGTTCTTTGGGACTGGAGGCATAGGCAGTTGTGAACCACAACTGTTGGGAACCAAAACTGCCTGCTGCAAAATGAGTAAGTGCTCTTAACTGCCAAGCCATCTCTCCAGCCCAAAAACAGGAATCTTAAAACTAGATTAAATGGAGACTATTGGTCTCAGTTCACTTTTCTTCTAGTATATTTCTTTAAACAATTGTGGGGCAAAAAAGAAAGAAAAAAATTCTTCATATGCAACTGTTGCTTAACAATATAAGCTTATTTTCTTAAGGGCTATTTTTGGTCCTTGCATTTTATTAAGTGTAGCAATCTTTGATGCATGTGAACATTGGTGAGGAGCAAATAAAAATATTCCTATATAGCGGTGGGTCATGAGGACAATTGGGTTTTCTAAACCTAAAATTCCATCAAAAAGGAAAACTTCAGTTTCAGTGCTACACTGACCACATCCTATATAAATGCCGGCACTGACTACCTCCTGACTAGATGCTGAAAGTGACCACATCCTATATGGATGCCGACACTAACCACGTCCTGAATGGATGTGGAAACTGACCACATTCTATTTGGACGATGAAACAGTGCGTCTCTGTGGGTGCCAAAACTGACAGCCTCATATGTGCATGCTGAAACGGACCACGTCCTGAAAGGGTATTGAAAGGGAGCACCTCCTGAATGGGTTGGGAAATTGACCATGTTCTATATGAATGCTAAAACTCATGACCTCCTGAATGGGCGCTGAAACTGAGCATCCTGTATGGATTCTGATTGGGCATTGAAACTGATCACCTCCTAAATGGGTGGGAAACGGACCACCTCCTGCATGTTGGAACCGACCACCTCCTGACTGGGTTCTTGGGTCAAAGGGACTGTTGGAAGCATGTGGCAAAATTACATAAAGATTTAGGAGACATCACCTTTAAAGTAATCTTTTCTAAAAGCTTTCTTACTCAGCAGGCTTTTTTGTTGTTGTTCCTAAGGAGCCTTATATGCTAGTAAGTCTTTTCCTGAGTTCTAAAAGTGACCTTTTAAACAGCAGCTAGTACCATGTTTACAGATATTTCCACAAGATAAAATACCACAGCAAAAAGTATATTGTCTGAAACATAGCACATGGCTTAAAGTGCCTCTGTTGGCATTTAAGTGGTGAAAATAAATCAGTGATATCTAGTCAAAGTTACACTTTGATATGTGAAGAATCTGTACAAGTATAAACATGTACAATATACAAGTACATGTTTAGAGTATGGTGGGGGCTGTGGTGCCAGATAAGAAAAATGCATTTTACAGGTAGACCTAAATTTTTATGCTGTTGTGATTTTTAACTGACCTGTCTCTTTTCATCATGTAGTGCCTATATATTTATGTCCATAAATATAGAGAATGACTAATGGTATAACTCACCTCTTAAAAAACAGTTTGTTTTCTTAGCCGCTAAACAGGTGTGTGTGTGTGGGGGGGGGTTGTTGTTGTTGTTGTTTGAAAAACTACTTACCCCAGACAAGAACAATGTATCTCAGTGGAATGAAGTACAGAATAACTGTGAACACACAGAGGGCTACAATGGCCAGCCAGCTTAAGAATGGGACAGTCCAGTTGAAAGTACTGAATGGAAAAGTAACAAATCAGTATTGTGACCACTTAACACTTTAATAAACAATGGTTAAAATAAAAAAGGCTTTGACTAATACAGTTGCCTGTCAGAGGACTAGGGTAGTCATAACCTGTTCAGTTCGTGAGTACAGGGCCCAGGTAAAGGATCTTGCTAGAAGCCACATTAGGCGGTCCAGGGATTTCAGAGTCTAAAGCCAGTGCACAACTTGGGTGCCCCCTATATAGTAAAAATATTTTTTGTTTTGTTTTGGCTACTAAAAATTGTGCCCATCCTTGTGAATTTTTAATTTTTATACAATAGTATATCTCAGGGCCTGCTATTCATTCTCCTAAAAACTCTATATTCCCATGCCAAGACGAAGATGTTTGCAGTAACTGCTGAAAGTGCAACTCTTAGAGCACTGTGTGAGACTTCAATTCTGGGATTCCTTTAGGAAGACTCACTTCCTATTCAGCTTCCTTTCAAATAGAGCTGGAATCGGCACAGGACAGTTAGCTTTATGGAATGTCATTTGCCATCATTGCCCTTGTTTAGGAATGAATGGGCATCTAAGAAAGAAAATCAGTGCTGCCTGCTCTACTTGTAGTACTTTTAACACAGGAGAGCATGGTCTGTAGTGAATTTGTGGGATAAGCTATAAAAAAAAAAAAAAAAAAAAAGAAGTCCGAACCAGGGGTGGGGAGCAGAAGAGAGCAGGACAGAGCTGCTGTGTTCTCAGTGTCCACATGCTGCTACAGACTGGGGCCCAAAAGATGTAAGGTAGGATTGACTGTCTGGTGCTGACAGGAACTGTCTGGGGGCCATGTGCATGCCATACTGACTCAGCCTGGGCGCCTGACAAGTGAAGCTAGCCAGTTCTGTGTCGGCAAGGTGCTCACAGGTATGAGCATACAGTGTGACATAAACTAAGTTACGATGAGCCCCAAATGTATGCTTTCATGCTGTGCTATGGTGAAAGGAAATGGGGCAAGGAAAAATGATTCAGAGAAAACAGGCTAAAGAAGAGAGAAGATATGACTTAGTCTTTAGAATTCTGAGACTGTTGCATAGAAATACATTTAGGGGTGAAAAGGAGGTGGTTTTGTGTAGCATGTATAAAAAAAAGTTGAAACTCAGCACAGGTGCATAAGTTTACATAAGTGGAAATTCATTAAATAAAAAAAAAAAAAACGTACAAAATAAAATGGTTTATCCCTTGCAAGATGGACAGCACCAGATGATAACTCATACTTTTGGTTTAAATAATTTATTCCTTTTAAATTCTGTATGTGTCCAAGGATCAAGGTCTGCAGAATACCAGCTGCCATGAATAATAAATGAAGAGTAGATATGAAACTCAGGAAGTGCATGCTTGTCCAGATACAGATCAGCCTTTCTTAAATAGGTATTAATAATTGTTATAAGCCAGTCATCAAATAGTTAACTAGTGAGAGGCCATGGTATATTTTGAATAGTCAGTTACTATCAATACACTATTGTATTTTTTTGGGGGGAAAGTATTTGTTTCAGAAAGTATATTAGAAATAGAGTATGATGGCATGTGCCTGTGATCCCAGCACTTTTGTTGTTTCTCTAGATCAACTATTTCCTAAAATTATTTTTTTCTAGTAAAAGACCCAAATTTGAATTAATCTGATTGCCCTGTTTTTCAATAACCCTTGGAGTGAGGCTTTTTAAAATTAGTATTGTTTTTTTAAAATTAGTATTGTTATTGTTGTTTTGGTGAGACAGGCTCTCAATATGTAGCTACAATAAACTCAGACTCATAATTTCTTGTCTCAACAGAAAACAAAATGCATTAGTAAATAAAATTATCTAAAATAAAACCATATAAGATTAAGAATATAAATTTCAGCTGAGCATAGGGTCACATGCATTTAATCTCAAAACTGGGGAAACAGGCAAGCAGATCTCTGTGAGTTCCAGGCCTTCCTGGTCTGTAGAGTTCCAGGACAACCAGAGTGAATTAGTGAGAAAAAACAAAAATTCCAGTGTTTGTGTGCCTGTGTGTTTGTGTGTTCCTTGACTGTGTGTGTGTGTGTGTGTGTGTGTGTGTGTGTGTGTGTGTGTGAGTGAAACTTATTCCCTCACTGGGTATGGCAGCACACAACTTTAATCCAGCATTTGAGAGGCAGGTGAATCTCTGACTTCCTGGCCAGCCACACCTACACAATGAGAACATGTCTCAAAAATAAAAACAAATGCAAAAACCACATACACACATAAGACAAAACATAAATGGGGCAGAACATTGCCTCAATGGTATAGAACACTTGTTCTTGCAGATGACCCAGTTTCAATTCTTAGCACCCACATGATGGCTCAACTATCTGCAACTCCAGTCCCAGGGAATCCAATGCCCTACCTCCATGGCCACCAGGTACACATGTGCTACACACACATACATAAAGGCACAACACTTAGAATAAGTAAATCTAAAAAATACTTTTACTTAAAAAGAATTCCTTTATAATTGCAAAATTTTTGTGATTTATTTTCTTAAGTGATGAAATGTGGCTTATTTCTTGATTACATGAAACTTGGTAAAAGGGGATCCAAGATGGCAGCAACCAGCATGCACCATATCTGAGGGGCAGAGGATCTAAAACTCCGAAATTGGTGAGTAGAGGGGCAGCGAAACCCAGAACGACATTGAGGCTTCCAGGGAGAAAGGAGACTAACTGTTAACTGAGACCATTTGTATTCGGATCACCCGCGGACTTCTCTGGGGATTTCACTGGGGTCTTCTCCACAGGTACTTCCCCTAAACCACCTCCCCACTCTCCCCTTGGTGGAGGCAGCAGAGCAGCCCGCAGTGCTCGCCACAGAGCAGAGTGCCCGACCTGCAGTGCTGGCTGCTCCTAGCAAAGAACCCCTTGCTCGGGATCTGGGACAGAGACTACTCAATCTTCCAGGCACTCCCCTGCACTGGCCTCCATATTTCTTCCCTGGTGGAGGTGGAGGCTGTGGAGATGAACCACAATGCCTGCCACAGAGCACAGTGTCTGGCTCCCAGTGCTGGCGGCTCCAACTTCTGAGCTGACAGATCCACATTTGCCCCAGAAGGATCAAATCAGAGAGTAGAGAACAAGGGGAACCGATTGGTCCTGCTGGAGAGTGAGTGTGCCTTCCAGTGCTCCCAGAGCCCCAGATCCAGGGTCCCTCTATGCTAGCAGCCAGACATCAAATCCCTACCACCCACAACCCCATTGTGGGCAATTTAGGGATTCTGGGACAGCGTTTTCAACATTGAAGCCCCTGTTCTGCGGGTCCACCAGTGAATTCTAGGCAAACAAGTCCTGGAGCACAGACAGATATGCATACCAGTGGCCTGTAGGCCACTGAGGTATTCAGGGAATCTGTGCATGCTAACAGCGCCCACAAACAGTGTCAGCATCACATTCCTTCCTTAGGTACAGGTGAAACACCAACACGCACCCTCAAACCAGTGGACCTCTCTCATCTTCCTGAAGAATACTCCAGACACGGGAGAAAGATGGACCCAGACTGAAGTACAGACTCCAGGAACAAACAGTGAGGGTTACAGATAAGCAGATGGCCAGAGGCCGGTGTAAGAACACACCCAACAAAAATCAGGACATCATGGCTTCACAAGCAAGCCCCCAAATCAATGGACATTTCAATTCATCAGAAACACAGGAAAATGCCTTTAAAGCTATGCTTATCCAGTTATTTAGAGGCACATTAAAGATGAAATGAACAAATCTCTCTGAGAAATAGCCACACAAATAGAGGCACATAAAGAGGAAACGAACAAAGCTCTCAAAGAAATAGACATGCAATGGAGGCAAATAAAGAGGAAATGAACAAGGCTCTCAAAAAAATACAGGCAAATACAGCCAAACAAATAGAGGTAGGTACAAGTAGAGGCACATTAATGGCATACAGAGAGGAAACAAACAAAAAAATATAGAAGCCATCATAGAAAGACAGGAATCCACATTCAGATAAAGATAAAGGAAGTGGTGCAAAACATGAAAACAATTAGAATCAATAAAGAAAACACAAACAGAGAAAACCCTGGAGCTGGAGAACTTAGAGAAAAGATCAGGAACCACAAAGGTAAGCATCACCAACAGAATATAAGAGATGGAACTGAGAATCGCTGGTGCTGAAGATACACTTGCAGAAATTGATACTTCTCTCAAAGAAAAATTAAAATCAGAAAACTCTCAAACACAAAACATCCAAGAAATTGAGGATGCCATGAAAAGAATAACAAGAACAGATAAAAAAGAAGATACCAGACTCTAAGGTCCAGAAAATATTTTCAAGAAAATCATAGAAGAAAATTTTCCCAACTTAAAGGAAGAGATGTCCATAAACATACAAGAGGGCTACAGAACACCAAACAGACTAGACTAGAAAATGTCACATCATAGTCAAAACACTAAACAAACAGAACAAAGAAAAAATATTAAAAGCAACAAGGGAAAAAAGCCAAGTAACATATAAAGGTAGACCTATCAGAATCATACCAGACTTCTCAACAGAAAGTATGAAAGCCAGAAGGGCCTGAGCAGATGTTATGCAGAATTTAAGGGACCACAGATGCCAACCCAGACTACTATACCAAGCAAAGCTTTTCAATCAACATAGATGGAGAAAACAAAATATTCCATGACAAAACTAAAAAATATCTACACAGCAACCCAGCCCTACAGAGGATACTAGAAGGAAAACTCCAACGAAAACAACTACAAACAAGAAAACGTAGGATATAGATAACTACACAACAAAAAAATTAAAAGAAAACAAGCAATGAAACACAGTAACACCAACTTCACAATAAAAGGAACTAACATTCATTGGTCACTACTATCTATTAACATCAATGGACTCAACTCTCCAATAAAAAGACACAGACTAACAGAATGGTTGCAGAAACAGGATCCAACATTCTGCTGCATCCAAGAAATAAAACACTCTGCAACAAAGATAAACACTACCTCAGAGTAAAGGGCTGGAAAAATGTTTTTCAAGCAAACAGACCCAGAAAACAAGCTGGGGTAGCTATCTTAATATCTAATAAAATAGACTTTCAACCAAAATTAATCAAAAAAGATGAAGAGGGGCACTACATTCTCCTCAAAGGAAAAATCCACCAGGAGGACATCATTATTGTGAACATCTATGCCCTAAATACAACAGCGCCTACATTAGTAAATGAAACATTATTATTAAAGCTTAAATCACACATCGATTCCAACACCTTAATAGTGAGAGACTTCAACACCCCACTTTCACCAAGGGACAGATCATCTAGACAGAAGCCTAATAAGGAAATAAGGGCACTTATAGAGGTCCTCAATCAAATGGACCTAATAGAAGTCTATAGAACTTTTCACCCAAAGTCAAAAGAGTATGCCTTCTTTTCAGCACCTCATAGAACCTTCTCCAAAATAGACCATATAGTTGGTCACAAAGCAAGCCTTAACAGATACAAGAAGATTGAAATAATTCCTTGTATTCTATCTGACCACCATGGACTAAAGCTGGACCTCAACAACAACAGATATAGCAAAAAACCTACACACACATAGAAACTGAACAACTTGCTACTCAATGAGAGCTGGATTAAGGAAGCAATAAAGAAATAAATTAAATACTTCCTAGAATTCAATGAAAATGAAGGTACAACATACTCAAACTTACTGGACACAATGAAAGTAGTTCTAAGAAGAAAATACACAGCACTAAGTACTTTCAAGAAGAAATTTGAAACATCTCATAAAAGCAACTTAATGGCCCAACTGAAAGCCCTAAGGGGGAGGGGGAAGAAGCAGATACACCCAAGAGAAGCAAATGGCTAGAAATACTCAAGCACAGGGCAGAAAACAATAAATTAGAATCAAATAAAACTATTCAAAGAATCAATGAAACCAAGAGCTGGTGCTTTGAGAAAATCAACAAGATAGTCAAGCCCTTAGCCAAACTAACTAAAAGGCATAGAGAAACTGTCCAAATCAGCAAAATCAGAAATGAAAAGGGGGACATAACAACAGACACTAAGGAAATCCAAACAATCATTAGGTCTTACTACAAAAGCCTGTATGCCCCAAATTTGAAAATCTAAAGGGAATGGACAATTTTCTTGATAGCTTCCATTTACCAAAATTAAGTCAAGATTAAGCAGAAATATTGAATGGTCCTATATCCCCCAAGGAAATAGAAGCAGTCATCAACAGTCTCCCTTCCAAAAAAAAGCTCAGGGCCAGATGGATTCAGTGCAGAATTCTACCAGACCTTCAAAGAAGTGCTAACTCCAATTCTCTTCAAACAGAAGGAACATTACCAAACTCATTCTATGAAGCCACAGTCACCTTGATACCTAAACCACACAAAGACCCAACAAACAAAAAAGAGAATTTTAGACCTATCTCTCTTATGATGAACATTGATGCAAAAAAAATGCTCAATAAAATACTTGCAAACTGAATTCAAGAACACATAAAAGTTATCATCCATCATGACCAAGTAGGCTTCATCCCAGGCATGTAGGGGTGGTTCAATATATGAAAAGCCATCAATATAATCCACCATGTAAACAAACTGACAGACAAAAACCACGTGATCATCTCCTTAGATGCCAAAAAAGCATTTGACAAAACCCAACACCCATTTATGTTTAAAGTCTTGGAGAAATCAGGGATACAAGGCACATACCTAAACACAGTAAAAATAATATATGGCAAGCCGATAGCCAACATCAAACTCAATGGAGAGAAACCTAAATCAATCCCACTGAAATCAGGGACAAGGCAAGGCTGCCCACTTTCTCCATATCTCTTCAGCATAGTTCTGGAAGTCCTAGCTAAAGCAATAAGACAACTAAAGAAGATCAAGGGGATACAAATCGGAAAGGAAAAGGTCAAAGTGTCACTATTCGCAGATGATATGATATTATACATGAGCGACCCCAAAAATTCGACCAGAGAACACCTAATATCCAGAATATATAAAGAACTCAAGAAATTAAAAAGCAACAAATCAAGTAATCCAATTACAAAATGGGGTACAGAGCTAAACATAGAATTCTCTGTAAAGGAGTAGAGAATGGCAGAGAAACACATAAATGCTCAATGTCCTTAGTCACCAGGGAAATGCAAATCAAACGACCTGAGATTTCACCTTACACCCATCAGAATAACTAAAATAAAAAACTCTAGTGACAATACATGCTGGAGAGGATGTGTAGAAAGTGGAACCCTCCTCCATTGCTGGTGGGAATGTAAACTTGTACAACCACTTGGAAATCAATCTGGCACTTTCTCAGACAATTAGGAATAGTGCTTCCTCATGATCCAACTATGCCACTGCTAGGCATATATCCAAAATATACTCAAGTACACAACAAGGACATTTGTACAACAAGGAAATCATGAAATTTGCAGGTAAATGGTGGGAACTAGAAAAGATCATCCTGAGTGAGGTGTCCCAGGAGCAGAAAGACACACATGGTATGTACTCACTTATAAGTGGATATTAGACATATAATATAGTTTAAACGTACAAAAATCTGTACAAACAGCTTCTAAAGAAGCTAAGCAAGAAGGAGGACCCTGGGTAAGATGATCAATCCTCACTCAGAAAGACAAACAGATTGGACAGTGGAAAAGTGAGAAAACAGGAAACAGGACAGGAGCCTAAACACAGAGGGCCTCTGAAATTCAGACTCAACCCTGCAGTATATCAAAGCAGATACTGGGACTCATAACCAAACTTTGGGCAGAGTGCAGGGAATCTTATGAAAGAAGGGGGAGATAGAAAGACCTGGAGATGATAGGAGCTCCACAAGGAGAGCAAAGGTACCAAAATACCTGGGCCCAGGGGTCTTTTCTGATACTCCAACCAAGGACCATTCATGGATATAACCTAGAACCCCTGCTCAGATGTAGCCCATGGCAGCTCAGTATCCAAGTGGGTTCCCTAGTAAGGGGCACAAGGTCTGTCTCTGATTTGCACTCAGTGGCTGACTCTCTGACCACCTATCCCTGATGGGGGAGCAGCCTTGTCAAGCCACAGAGGAGGACAATGAAGCCAGTTCTGATGAGACCTGATAAGCTAGGGTCAGATGGAAGGGGAGGCAGACCTCCCCTATCAGTGGACTTGGAGAGAGGCTTGGGAGGATATGAGGGAGGGATTAGGAGGGAATGAGGAAGGGGGCTACAGCTGGGATATGAAGTGAATAAACTGTAATTAATATAAAAAATAAAATTAAAAGAAACTTGATAAAATATATTTAAATCTTACAGTATAGTTGTCTTCTTTACATGAAATCTATGAGGTCAGATTGTTTTTCTATCATGACTTCAAATTCTTTTTAAGAATAAAGTCAGGATGAAAAAAAGAATGCTAAAATTACGACAGTGTTATTTCTTCAAAGCTACAAGTATGACTTCTTTCTAACCAAATGTTCTAAATTTCAGGAAGGAAATTGACATAACCATCACATAACCATGGACTTAAAAACCAAAAAAACACAAAATAAATTATGACAAAACTTAACAATAGATCATCCAGGAGTGACCTGTGCCAGACACGTATGGGATTTCATTCTGAGAGTCAAGTCAACACCATCCCATAGAAGGCCAGAGTGCACACGTCAGCATCACTTACTTCTTTATTCTTTCGCCAAAGGAAGCCACTTCATCTAGGATATTCTGGACACTGACACAGACTTCCTGGATAGCATAGATTTTATTCATAAATCCTTTTTTTTCACCATCCTAAAATGCAATAAAAAGAAAGAAATTCTGAATGAGTAAAAGGTATGTATTGGTTCTTGCCTTTTTTTTTGTTTGTTTGTTTGTTTATGGATATTTGGAGCTCGTAAAAATTTCAGGAAAAACGACATGAGGAGGAATGTACCAGATGGCTGCAATTCCAGAAACTTGAATTCTATTGCCCTTACACTGATGAACAGAAACATGGAGGTAGAGCTAGTTTTGGTATGCAGATATGAGAGGAAGAATTGCCAAACCTGACACAAGACCCATTTAGCAAACCCAGTCTCTCTCCTCATAAGCAACCTCTCTGTTTTTGAACATGGTTCCCTGGCACTTACTGTGTAACTGAGAGTGGCTTTGAATGCTTGATCCTCTTCTACACTCCTGAGTGCTAGGACTACAAGCATGTGCTATTACACCACACTCAGGCTTATGTGGCACTGGAGATCAAATCCAGGGCTTTGATCATACAAGCCAAGCACTCTAGGAACTGAACACAAGCCCAGCCTCAAAGCCAGTTTCTTGACCCCACCACCTATACACCTTAGCTGGGTCTCCACATATGTCCTTGAATATTTTGTTTTCTATTTTCTATTGAACCAAGGGACTTTTGAAAAACCCTATCACTGAACTGTATCTCCAGACTTAACTGAACAAATCCTTCAATGGCGTAAAATACTGGGTACAAACAAGAATACCTAAGAGCAGTAAAAACTGATAAAACAAACAAACAAGCAAAAAAACTAGTACTGAGATGCAGTAACTGGACACTCCTAGATAAGACACACACTAATCTTCAAAACAATGTTCAGATAGTCTATGGTTGCTTATGCTGGTAGCCAAAGTTCTAATACCTCCTTTTTTGTATATACTTCAACCAAAATCTTGAAATCAAGAAATGCTTGTATACCAGGGAATGAGTGGGAGGGGATTAAGTATAACACACCCTGTGCATGGTGTGAACCTAGGAAAATGTGCATATTTTATAATTTTAGCTCCAAAGGAAGAAATAGTGGTGGCCTTTCACGATAGAATTCAGCTTGGTAGCCTAGCATCACAGACACTTGCCTAGGTTGTTTGGTGGAGACCATCCAACCCAGATTCCATGACTCCATTTCTCCATGCCAGCTTGAATGTCTATGGAAATATAGATCCAATTTCATTACTTTAACTTCTTTTGAACACTTGCAGACTGTGCCAGAACACTTGAGACCTCATGTGGCAGTTAGTGCTTGCTGAAAGCAGCCAGGAAGCTAAGATAATAATGTCATGTTGCACATTTATATACTAAATTTCACTTTGAAAGAGTCCTAACACTGTATTGTGAGTACTTGGCCAGGGCTGGCATTCTGCTGTTCTGCCACCTAGAAACCAAGGACAAATGGATCACGGGTGCAAAGGCTCCCTCCAAGGACTTCACAGTACCCTGGGACCAAGGCCATGTAGGCCAACTTTATAATTTGATCATAATTGCAGATACCAATCAGAGTTCTTATTTCAAATTTAATTTCAATAGAAGAATCTTCTACATTAGTCATTGTAGTGGCTTGAATAGGTATGGCCTCCATAGACTCATGTGTTTGAATGGTTGGCCCATGGAGAGTAGCACTATTAGGAGGTGTGTCCTTATTAGAGGAAGTGTGTTACTGTGGAGGTGGGGCTTTGAGGCTATATATGCTCAAGCTCCACCCAATGTGGAACAGTCGCTCCTTGCTGCTTGTGGATTAAGATGTAGAACTCTTGGCTTTCTATCCAGGGCCATGTGTACCTGGACACCACCATGCTTCCTGCCATGATGACAAGGGACTAAACCTCTGAAACTCAAGCCAGCCCCAATGAAATGTTTTTCCTTATAAAAGTTGCCTTGGTCATGGTGTCTTCACAGCAATGAAATACTAATTGAAACGGTTGTCTTATGCCAAAGAAGATTGTCAAGGGAGGTAGATAAGGGATAAGGTAAACCCCATAATATAGGAAGTAATTCCATACCCAGCATTCTCCACTCTATTCAAAAGTCACCCTTCGCTGACCACGACACACCAAGATGCATCAATTTCTTATGTATTCTCCCTCTTCATTTTACAAAACAAAATATTAATTCCACCCAGGCAATCTTATGTAATTGTACATTTTAGATAAAGTGAATAACCAATGGCTTTCTGGTTGTTTTAATAACTTCAAAGTTGGCCTGATCCTTAGTATCAGTTGACTTCTTTTATGTCTATGAAGCAAAGTGCTCTTATTATCTATTCTGTATGTAGCAAAAAAAAAAAAAAAATCAACACAGAACAAACAAACAAAAACAAAACTCTGCAGGACTGGAGTATGCGCCAGTGGTAGACTGCATGCTTAGCACATCTCTAGCCCCAATATCCAGCTCCAGAAAAGAAAAATAAGCCAGCTGAAGGCATTGTGTGTATAGGGAAAGCTCCTCTGAACATAAGGTTCTTGTTCAGGGCCATGTGCTGTTTTTCACGATAACAACAAAGTACTTTGATATAACCTCAAAAAATTATGAAAACAAATATGGCCACATTATAATGTAGAATACTGGGAGGGGGTTGGTTGAATGTACATATTTATTGCAATTTCAACCAAATCCTTGTATTTGGAGAAGACAGAAATGGAGAGAATTTGATAAAGTGCTTCTAAATTTGCTTGGAAGATAAATATGTAACTGTAGTCAAGACATTTCTATAAAAGGGGGAAATCATGAGAAAACATTTTGTAGACCACATGCTTAATTAAAATGAAACATGAATACCGGGAAAAAGCTAATATATAAGGCATCATGCTGGATGCATGCTTGTAATCCCAGCACTCAGGGTGTGGAGGCAGTATGACCAAGAATTCAAGGCCAGAGTGGGCTATTCGAGATACTGTCAGCAAAAAGTAGGGCAGGGTTTCATCATATAGAAGGAATTTGTGAATGAGCAATTTAGTTGCTATTTATAGAAAACAGTTTATGGAAAACTATGCTAAACTCTCAACTCCATTAGGTAGTCTAAGTCTACATCAATCTTTACCTTAAATATATTCTAAAGTAATGTTTAAAGCTAAATGCTGTAAGTAAATTATAAAGACAATATAGATATTTACTTACATTGGTAGGAAAGAATTTTCTAAAAACAAGCATTTAAAAAATGACAGAAAAAAATTGATAGCAGTGATTTCATAACATTAAAAACTGTGCCAAAAGTCGCCGTAACTTTAAAACTTTCAGGTTGAGATACAGGCTGTGCTATAGTGTGTCCTAAGCATGTGTGAATCTTTGGCCTTTGAGCTGCAGCACTATCAAAAAGAGGTTTTAAAGACTAGCTAGGTAAAACAATAGCAACAAATATTCCAGTTGACAGTATGATATTCCCAGTGTGCTCATGCAATAAGCTCCTGTAAATATTTTTGTTGCAGTCTTGTTATAAAATTAACAACAACAAAAAAAAAACATTAACACATTGAATAGGACTATTTTGGCAACCACAAAACATGAAAATTTTAATGATGAAATACTTATGGTCTACTTCAAATAAGTGAAAAATTAAAATGATACATAAAACTTTTCAATGAAATTAACATTTTATATTTAAACTCCCCCTCCCAATATTGAAGAAAGAAAGAAAAAAAAGAAAGAAAGAAAGAAAGAAAGAAAGAAGAAAAAGGGAAGTTAGAATTATTCACAGGGCATGATTTTACTTTGGCTTTTGTGTATTTTGAACTTTAATAAGCTTTAGGTAATTTTGAAAAAAAAAAAGAGACAAACACATGTTCAGTGAGTACTATACAGTGCTTCTCATATATCCAATCCAACCCTCATAACCAGCTTTAGTATCCTTTCACTACTGCTAGAAACTGCGGCTCCAGAGAACTGTCAGGGTCAGGCTGGCGCTGGAACAGGCCAGTATCAGTGGCTTTTTCATCCTGTGAGAGAGATTTCAGTTCCTCTCTAAAGCTTCAGTAGGATAAGCAAGTGGGAAAAAGGAAATATTTACTTGTATGACCCTAACTAGCCTTAAGGCTCATCATGCAGCTAAATTCTTCAGCAAGAAACTGCAATCCAGAAGTTTCCCTCAAGGGTAGGAAGGGAAGATGTGTGAGGAATCTCAGAATTACCATAAATGACATGCTGCATAGAGGATCCTCAGCACCAGAGCCACTACAGCGGCAATTTTAAATAGTTACTTTTAAAATTCAGTTCTTGAATAGGATTCTTAAAAATTGGCTCATACAATTTCTTTGTTTTTCTCTCACTTTGATCTCACTGCCACTCCCATGCCACTGTCATCAGAATAAGATAGGCTTGCCGAAAAGTTGGTAAAGTTTGGGGAAGCAAATACACTGGGGTAAAATGTTTATCGCACAATCTCTTTCATCAGATTCTATATCCCTTCACTGTGGTCGCCAGCCAATGAAGTAATTACTCTTTATATATAGTATATGACCCAAAACTGCAATGGGTAATGAAATTGCTCCATGTTGCATTCCAATATTTCACACCTTCCCCCTAATGTTCAATACTTTATTAGTAGGGAATAAATTGGTACATTTCTTTTATTGTCATTTTTGCTTTCTTTTATAAGCCAGTTTGGATGAAAGAAATACCACAGAGTAGTTAATCATCCAAAGGCTCAGTAGTGACATTGGTTTAAAAATGATTAATATTTCTTTTCAACATGTAAAAAAAAAGTTACTTGTAGAAAACACTGAACCTGATAGAAAAAAAAAGTGGAGAACAGTCTTGAATGCATTGGAACAGGAGATAACTTCCTGAACAGAACACCAATCATGTAGACATTAAGATCAACAATTAATAAATGAGACCTCATAAAACTGAAAATATTTTGTAAGGCAAAGGACACCATCAAAAGGACAAAATGGCAGCCTACAGAATAGGAAAAGATCATTACCAATCCCCTATCTGACAGGGGACTAATAAAAAAACTCAAGAAGCTGGACATTGACAAACCAAATAATCCAATTAAAAAGTGGAGTACAGAGCTAAA